CAACTTTTGCAATAATACATTAAACAAAACAGAGTTGGGCAAAAAGATAATTTGGTAGTTTATATATACTTGATATTAAGATACATTGACTTAAAAACTGGCCAAAAAAACGTAGACAAAGAAGTAGACCTCAAGCTGAGGTATTAGAATTAAAATTAAAAGCAAAAATTTCAAATTATAAAATTCTTGTGTAACTGTTCTATTTATATAGTGCATGCACATATTGTATTAATTGTATTTATTTCAAATAACATTTTTCTAAAAAATGACCTGAACAGTGGGAAAATGAAGAGTAGTTTCTGCATAAAACACAGAACAAAAACTTTTACCAACAAACACACTTTAAACATAGAGTATATGTTACGAAAGATAAAAATTATGTGACTTGATGTCTAAATAAGTTACAGCAATCTTCTTTCATCTCTCCAAATTTTTGTTACTCAAATTCTCTTGAAGAGGATTACCTAGGGACTTTCAAGTATTTGTATCTTTGCCAATTTCAAGTACAGAAAGGACCATTTGTCAAATTCCAGTTCAATGTATCTGTCATATTTGCTGTTGCTTACACCTAGAAATAATATAGAAACACAGACTTACCTGAGAAATTGCAGAATATATTGGAGTTCCTATAGTCCAAATTACTGAATTCTTCTTTCTCATCCTTTATGATCCCATTCTGTCGCAATAACTCATATTTCTACATTTGTAATATTATACTAATAGATCACATATTAATGCTCAAAAAATGTATTTTTAAAAGGTGGTATTCTACTCTATGAATACAAACTGTCAATCATATGAAGTTCCATGTTTGTAATGATTTCCATGTTTTAAAACCATGCTGCACTTTTTCTTTTGGTAATTAATTGTAGTTAAGAGTCTCATGGACTTTTCTGTCTTGGCTGGCTTTGAACCACCATTCTCATCAGTCTCCTGAGTAGCTAGGATTACAGGCAACAGTCACCATTAAAAAAAATAGAATCTAAGGCATCAAAATATCAGAACTTTGGCTTAATAAGCAGTGAAATAAGAGTTAAGCACATTCACCACCAACCAATAAGCAACTTGGGTAGACTACAATATTTCATAATAAAAAAATCACTATAAAATTTCATCTCAGAATATTGCTGAGTAGCTAAAGATAGCCATAAAGCATATTTCATATTTTCTCCTAGCAGAATTTATCTTGGAGAAGGAAGAGGATGGTACATTCAATTCCTCCTTAATTTAGAAGGCCTTTAAGTTTTCAAGAAATAGATACATCATTCAAATATGAACAAAGAGCATGCATTTTCTGTAAAGCCAAAAAAAATACCCTGAATTTCACTGGCATGTTTAATGAAAGTTGTGTACACAATGTTCGTTCCACTGAGCTAAGGGAGAGTACAGACATGTAACTTTCTATCATACATAGAAATAAATTTTTAGGTAACTTTCTATCCTACATAGAATTAAATTTTTAGGATCCTATAGTCACTACTTAAAATCCCACAAGTAAAAAATGTATCCATGGAAAAGTAGAGAAATTTTGAATACTAAAGTCCTTTATTCAACAACACAGAAATTTCACAAAAACAACTGTACTGGGCAAAATTGAAGTGATTTTTAAGGTTTTTTTTTTTTTTTTTACAGTTTTGTACATGCCCCATAAGTGATTTTTCTTTAATAAATACACTGTTTTCCAAAACTGCATTTTAAATAATTGCACAAGCATACATACACCTTACACAAATATCTATTAGAAAATGTAATAGATAACTGCACAGTTCAGGATAGGAGAACAAAGTGACAGGAGTCCACCTAGTGACCCAAGTTCCTGAAATATTTCAACTATTTTGCCATTGTGATAACAGAGTCCCTCCTAACACAGTAGCTGTATTTCATTCATGAAGAATACAGATCTCAGTGTGAAATGCCAAACTGAATAAAAACAAAATGTGAAACATTTAGCTGTTACATGAGAACCAACTGTGTGATATCACCGTGAATCTAACCATGATCAAAGGCCCACTATAGCTTTTGGCTGAATATATTTGACCCCAAAGAGTGTGTGTGTGTTTAACTGCTTTCATTTTTTTTTCATTATTTTATTACTGATATTATCCACTGAAAGGCTTCATATGCTTTAGCATTAATTGCACACTTCTGTGCCAGGGGTTCTGACTGAGAGGAAGGGAATATTTCTTGTAGTGATTATTTAATGTTAATTCACAGTAAGCCCATCATTTCTTACTTGCTGGACATGTGTTTAGAAGAAGAAAGTTGGGAGACAGAACATAAGCAGCAAGGAGACATTTGTGATGTATGCTTTCATGGGGAGAAGACAATTCTTATTTTTTTTCCCCCAAGGATGGACAAGTTACTACTTTGTGAGCATACCTCTGCTTATACACAAAGCAGAGTCCATCAAAAAGCCACTTTGGTCGAAGGTTCAAGAAGAGAGGGTCTGTGTTATGAGTTAGGGCACTATGTGATAATGAACTGTTCATTTGCTCACTACATTGGCCCAACTATTTTGATCTCCCTAAATACGGGCACATGATTATATTTCCTTTGAGAGGACAGGACCCAGAGCATGTTCGACCTCTGTTTTTAGTTCATCTGATATATAATTTTTTAAGTTGTTTAGCGAGTACACACCACACCATCTATCACTGGATTACTGAATTCTGAATTTTCTTGAAAATTGAATAGGAAAGACAGTGAGGAATTTTTTTAAGTTACATTTCATCAGTATTTGAGAATATGAGAAATGTAAACCTTGAAGTCAGGACCCTAAAACTGTCATTGTATGCTTTATAAGTTCTCACTATATGAACAAATTGGAAGAAAACCAGAGGGAGTCCAGAAGAATATTTTTTTTTCATCATCACCAATGAGAACTTTATGGCACCCCACACTACACAGACTTGTAACCAAAAATATTCAAAGCAGGTGATATGAAACACATCAGTAAAATATATATGTGAGAATTAAAGAAAAGCTACTCTGTTCTTTTTCAGTAATTAACAGATTTACTTTGATAAAAAAATGAACTGACATAATAAACATCACATTATACAATATAGATACAGATTCACTAGTTATTTTCAAAAGCAACCAAAAACACATTAAGACATGCAACACCACAATGCATTTCAGACTGTCAGTACATTGCTATGTGATCTTTTTAAAATAATATGCCCAATATAGCCTGAATAGAAGTCTGTTTATTTATGTAATAATCATTTTCCTAAGAAAGGTAAGCTTCTAATTGAAGTGTGAAAGCAAGTTTTCCCTTATGTGTACCTCATTAGTACAAACTGGTAAACAAAAGCAAATTAAAATAATAAAGGGGAACAAGGAAGAACTTATACTCGTTCTCACTGGTCCTATAGAAGAAATATAAATTCTAACTAGAAACCCTCAAAGGAATATTCATCGAGTCAAAAGCTATCTCAAAATTATTATGCAGTACCCCATAGCTTGTGATTATTTATACTGTCTAAACACAGACTGATTTTAGCACATAATGGATTTTCTCCAAAAGGTGCTGGGATGGTTACTGTAGACTTGCTTTGGTGTTCTAGGCCAGTGATGTCACATTTTTTTGTCTCCCAGTGGCATTTGCATGATCAGTACCCACATTTCCCCCAAGTATTCTGCTGATGTATAAGGTGCTCCTTCTGCCTCCCAATAATTCATTCCAATCCTATCATCTCAATTCCCATTCAAAACTACAACTAGATTCTTTTTAATACTCGTTTGCCAGTCTTTCAAAAACATTACACTTCAACTTCTCTCTGTTCCATCATAGTTTAGTTATTTTTCTTCTCCTGGGCCGTTTGACCAACCTGTTTCAACAGGCTTGTGGAATGTCGTGAGCTAGCATGACTTTCATGAATACAGAACAAAATGCTGCAGTAACATGACAACTTGAATGTTGTGCGCATTTTTTTGTTTTTTTTTTTTGTTGTTTTTTTTTTGATAAACTCTGTTCCAGTCTGGAATCTAAAAATAACCTTTATAGTTTCATTAAAAGAAAAAAAAAGGAAAAAAATAAAAGGAAAAATCCCTAGGAATGCTGACTCTCATAAGCCAAACAAACCCTATAGGCCATGGTAGCCAAGCTTGTATGGATCACTATCTCCTTTGTATGTGGACAGATGACAGAGCCAGCCTTCCGTTTACGAAATTCCACAGGCTGGCCCCATCTCAGGGAAGCGTAAATGACAAGCATGGGAAAGGGGATGGTGGAGATTTCCACTGAGACGTGGGGGAAAAGCCACTGGTCCAACCAGAAGGCTATGAGAAAAGAAGGTAAAAACAGACCATATGCCTCACTTTTAGAAATGTGTTTGAATTTTTTTTTTTTTGGTAACTTAAAAATATACTTAGCAACACCCTAAAACCAGGTCTCCATGTATTTAAGTGTTAAAACCTTATTTCATAACATACATGGTATTAATACATTTGGATACTGTGTATTAAGGATTTTTTTCCTACCAAAAAATAGGCAAAAAGAAAATGAACAAAACAAAAATAAAATCAAAACCAAAAACAAACTTATCCTATCTTTGTCTGGGAAAAAAAATCAGTCGTGGATATCTCCCCTTAAGATCTTGTTTAGTCTAGGAAACACTGGGTTGTTTTTTTTTTTTAATTTGTGTTGTTGTTAACAAAAAATTTACACAACTGATTCTGCATTTTCCAACTATTCTGAGTACTCTGGCTTACAGTGCAACTCAAGACAAGCCAACTACACTAAGTACTGGGGATCTACACCCTTCTGTACAGTTTGCTTGTAAGCAATGCAAGTGCATAACCACTACTCTAATACAGTGCTCAAAAGATTAATTGAAACTTTCATTACATCTTCCCCTCTTAGAACAGTACAACAGAAGGTAATGGCTGGATGCATCATCTTTGAAGTCTTGTAAAACTTGGCCTCAAGTCTCTAAGGAAAGATGCATGGCAAAACAGTGCCAGTGTTCTTACTACTTCTAGAAACAACTGGTAAAAAAAAAAAGTTTAAAGCTAAAATTTATTGCTCCAGATTTAAATTGCAGAAGCAGACTGTTGTATACAAACTGTGAATCTCCATAGATGCTCAGACATGATTGTCCCCTTGTGTCTAAACACACAAAATACAAGCTGCTATCTGTACAGTTTACATTTGAAAAGGAAGTATAGATATGTACTTTGCAAAGATACATGATTTTACAGCAGGGGTTTACCCAAACTTTTTTTTTTACAGCCACTTTCAAAATAGACAACAACTTCACCAGAAGAGCTAAATTACATCAAAGAAAGAATCAGTGTATTGAAAAGTAAATAGACTAGCCAATTTCCCAAGCTCCCATGTTATTTTTATGTGTTTTTTTTCCTCTTTTCTTTTCCTCTGTTTTGTTCTTTGAAGAAATCCCTATACATAAAATGAAAATAATTTCTGGATATTTTCTTCAATGCTGGACTAAGCAGTTTCTTAAAACAAGACATTAGATTGCCCTTCATTTCCAAATGCCTTGAAAATAAGATACACTACTGCTTTAAAAGAACCACCGGAATGCTTCGGCACTGGGAACAGGTGTTCTCTATGAAAAAAAAACAAAAAAAAAAAGCAAGAAAACAAGTTAAGCTTTCTTTCTATGCCAATATAAAATTAGATTTTTCTCCTTTACACTTCAGCAATATCTTTAGTCAGCAATATACAACATAATGACTTATATATTTCAACATTTAATAAAGAGACATTCTCAATCTTAGGATATGATGAAATTAGAATATTAAATTTAATGCTAACATATAATGATTAAAACATACTGATCTTAAAAAAGAATACAGGAAATGCAAAATGAATAGCAACCAGAACAAGCACATAGCACCATAAAACTATGGACCACAAAAGGATTACTTTTTCCTAGTTTTACCCTTGTATATTAAATGTATTATTTAATGACAGATCTTCATTTATTTTTTCTATATCAAAAAGTATATGATCAACTATGCATGTAGTCTTTAATATTAGTCAGACACACGAGTATTGTATGCAATAAAAGGAACTAATTAACTTACTCTACCATAACCCACACCAACAAAAACATTACCAACAATTTAAACTGAAATTTAGATCTCTGTTTTTATGTAAAATCTCAAAACATATACATTTATGTGAAATCTATGTAGGGCAAAGTCAGAATTAGGTGAAATAATTTCTTGATTCTGGATTTCTTTTTATAGTGTGCTAATAATAAGTATCATGTCAATATTACCTGTATCACTTATCAATGACTGAAATGCTAAATGTATTTTATCAATAATCTAATGAGCACTATTCTGATAAAAATGTCCATCTGAAGTGAGTCTACATTTTCAATGAATTAATAAGTATAAAGCCAATCACACTATTTTTAGTGAAGGCAGATAAAGAAAAGAAGCTTAGGGTATATTTTCTTACAGTGGCAAATAAGTCTTACTTCTTAGACAAATCCAAAAGGTATGTGTAGATTGTAAGATAATTTTTAAGAATAAATAAGTATAGGGCTGCAGAAGTAACTCAGGGTGCTTGCCTAGCATGCAGCACACACACACAAAAAGTGCATGCACATGTACACAGACACACAGACACAGACACAGACACACACACACACACACACACACACACACACACACACACACACACACACACACACACACACACACACACCAGCTTTGCTAGCATGCCTATAATCCTAGTACTTGGGAGGCCAACTCAGAAGGATGAAGAATTACAGAGTACTCTGTGGTACACAGCAAAACTCTGTTGTAAAAGAAAAGGAAGGGAAGGAGGGAGGGCCAAGGGTAAAAAGACTGAACAAGACTGGTTTATTCAGTGAATATTACTTTTAAAATACTTCTTAAAACAATACTCATGACACTTGAATTACATATTTTAGAAGGCACACCAAACACTATACTGTAATGTTTTTATAATTGAGACTAGCATTTATTTACCTTCTCATCCATGAATTATCTGAGTTATGGGATTGTCATTCTTTTATGCTAAAAACATCACTCCAAACTAAGGATACTGAAGTAAGATATCACTTACAATATAGGTGAATAAAACAATTATTTGGAAAACAAATCTGCTTTTCACAATGTGTACTAAAAAAAATTTTTAGAGAAAACTGCCCGCACAACTAATAACAAACTTCCATATTGTTAAGAAGAAATTAATAATTACTACAATTTGTTAATTAAATGTTGCATGTGTGTGTACCAACTGTTTAACTTGTGAGGTATCTTCTCAAAGCACAGAAGTTCTCTTATTCTCAAAAATATAGCACTGGCTTTATTAATATTTTACTCGTATCTTGATGCATTCACCAGTTTTCTTCTTCCCACTACCCATGCATGGAACTCTGAGTGAATAATAAACTCCTAAACTGCTCTCCCAGATTGGCATTAAATACAAAAAGTAAAATGTTCCTGTCTTAATTACACTTACTTAATCACTATCAAAGGACCTTATGACATGCGAGAACATGTGCCCATTCTAGTATTCATACTTTATAGGCACACAAACAGTAAATGGAAACCTGCAAGTTTATACCAGATGCTAACTTGCTAGCTGATGCCAACTAAGAATAAATTTTATATAAGTATGCGTAGTTACACAAATGTAGTCATTTTTAACGAGATAAATTAGATCCAAGTATATCCATGCAATTATAGATCTCTGGTTACAGATTCACATATTAAAAAAACAAACATGTGCATATATATTCACGTATATTCACATTTATGTGTATTTGTGTCACAAAGTGATGCCAAACCACTCTCAGATGCCAATTGGAAGCCGGATATAAATATGTACTTTTGTAATGTTGTCTCTTGGTAAACATATATGTTTATGGAGATAAACAGAAAAATTTATGGGATACATTTTTTTAAATGAGATGAAGTCCTTATGCCTTAGATATGTTCCTAAATTGCTTTCCCAACTCTTTTTTCTTCCTGAGCCCCTTCCTACTACTCGGTTTTATTTGCAATATTAAGAAAAAGTAAGTTTATAAAAATGTCTCCTAGTGTTAAGGTTCATTATTGTGGGTGGGAAGGGAAGGCATTCACTTGTCAATCTTACTCATATTAATCAAAAGAAGCTTCAAAAACAAAACATGGAGTTTATTTTTTCCCTTCTTCCCTCCCTCTCCCCCCCTCCCTACCCCCAGCACTAAGATTTGAGCCCTGGGCTTCCCTCTCGCTAGGCAGGAGCTATACCACTTGAGACACACCTTTAGGCTTTTTTCTGCTTTAGTGATTTCTCATATTGCATCTCAGCTTTTAATCTAGCCAGCATCAGACGTTGATCCTCCCAATCTATGCCTCTTAAATAGTCTGGGTTTCAGATAGCTATCTCCATACTTGGCTTTTTTGTTGTTGTTGAAATGAGGTCTCACTAACTTTTTGCCTAGGATGATACAGACATAGTTCAGGCTGGACCACAGATTTCCTACCCTAACGTGATCTCTCATTAACTACTTTATTAACTCGGTGATTTACTGAGCAATAGGATACATGGAGGCTAATGTAATCCCCAGAAATTAGAATATCAACAATGTATTGGAGAAAAAAATGAGAAAATAATCAGTGAAGCGTGCTTAATTTGTTTCCTTCTATTAACATCTTTGAGATCAGGAATCCTACAATTGGCTACTTGGCAAATCTCCTAAAATATGTGAGAAAATTTAGGAGTGATGGATTCCTTGGAACAAATTATCCCCAGAAACTTAGAATAAGGCCGCTCTAATACTTTTATTTTTGAGCAAACACAACAGCAAATCTCTTTGATGGTCTAGAGCGCATATCTGCCTTCTTGCTCAGCTTTCATAAGGCTCATTAGCAATTTACTTTAGGCCTGGCCTAACTTCTTAGAAAACAGGATGGTGCCAAATTGTTTTCCTAGGCGATGGGGTTGAACTCTTAAGTTTCTGATTAAGTCTGTATGAATTTTGGCACACAACTTCCTTAATGATGTCAGCTACTGAGGTCGTTGTTATAAAGATTTTATGCACTGGCTTGGGGACTCAACATGCCAACATGGGGGATTAAAGTCTCAAGGAAAAACAAACTCTGGATGAGACCACAAGGACTTCCAGCTTGAGCAGGACTGTTATGCTGAGTGAGAGGAAAGCCAGATCCCCTTAAAAGAGATAAGGGACAAAATCGAGTTCATCAGTCTTTTTTATGACAGTCTTACACACTAATAGGAGCCTGGCTTCCAGAAGCTTGTGCAGAAATCTCCAGATCCCCAGGCCCTCTCTGCCAGCACCACTGTCAAGTATGGTACTCCTGAGAACTCATCCTACCTAGACCAGATCCATAAGGACCTTTAGGGAACAAAAAGAGAGATAATGAGCTCTGTTTCTCCTTTCAGTATTTTTTTTTTTTTTTTTTTGGTGCTAGTCCTGGGTTTGAACTCAGGGTGTGAGCACTGTCTTTGAGCTTCTTTTGCTCAAGGCTAGCACTCTACCACTTGAGCCACAGCTCTACTTCTCAGCTTTTTTTTTTTTTTTTTTTTGGTAGTTTTAATGGAGATAAGAGGTTCACAGACTTTCCTGTCCAGGCTGGCTTCCAAGGATGATCCTTAGATCTCAGTATTTCAAAGTAGCTAGGAAAACAGGTGTGAGTCATCAGTTCCAGCTCCTTCAAGTAACTTTTTTGAGCCAGGAAACAGCCTCTAATAAAAGAATGACTTAATCCAAATATATTTCGCATTTGCCTTTAAGAAACACAGAAATTATTACCTCTTGGAGAAATATATTTTAGTTTCATTCTTGTTTTCAAGGAAGAAATGATCACACAACCTATGATAAGTAAGAATCCCACCCCCTCAAAGGCCACTTTAAGAATTTTAAGAGTGTTTCTCTTTTCTGTATCTGCTAACCAATCACAGTCTGTGGGCTTTTCAAGTCAACCACATGTCTACATATTTTTTGTTAGAAAATAAAAACTAATAGAAACTCAGCTCATAAAAGCTTCAAATGAGACAGCTATACCTCTACACATCAGGATTTCTGAACTGGCCATTTCTATCTAGATACCAGTAGGATGTTGCAGTATTCATACCACTATACTTAAGTCTAATCACTTCTAATAAGTTAGAGCAGAGGTTTCAAAGAGAAACATTAAAGATAACTCTTATTGCAGAAGCTTGCCTCACACTTATGCAATTTTAAATGGAAATGTTTGTGCCATTACAAATTCCTCTAGCTAAGTTAGGCATAGTGGCAAACACTTGTAATCCCAGCTCCTTGAGAGGCAGAAATTGGGAGGATTTCAGTTCTAGGCCAGCCTAGAGAAAAAGTTTGAGAGCTCTCATCCTGAATTAGGTGCCCCAACCCTGTATTCCATGCTATAAGGAAAGAGGAACTGAAAGGATTATGGTCCATGCTGGACTGGGAATAAAACAGGGACTCTATCCCGACAACTAACTAAAGCAAAAAGTACTAGGAGGTATGGTTCAAGGAATAAAGACCCTGCATAGCAAGTGTGAGACCTAGAGTTCAAACCTCAGTATCACAAAAATGAAACAAAACTTAGCAACAACAAC